TGTGAACTGCAGCTCTCCATGAATGCCAGCAAACAGCAGCTCTTTGTGAACAGCAGCTGTTCATGAACAGCAGCTCTTCAGTAGAAAGAAAGACTTAAGTCTGGGGGGTTGTTTTGTTTTGTTTTCTGGCTAATACCAGTTCACCCATGCAAGATGTAAATGCCTTCAAGATAAGAAACAACAACAGCAAAATGGTTAAGAAGTGTACTGGAATAATCTACCTTACTTTGTGTCACTCTGGTCACTTTTCTGTGGAATTTTGTTTTTTTTGTTGTCGCTGTTGTTGATGGGCTGGACTTTGAAATGACTTTCTGAAATTTTATGCCATTTAGAAAAACCTAAGCTTTGGACTTTACCCCTGTTCAGATGCTTTTTGCTTATTTTCAGGCTTTCATTGTAAGCTGAACTTTAAACTACTTGGCTACTTTTAGACCAGCAGCAACAAGACGTACACTCTCTCCTATGGCACTGTTTGTGGTCCCTGCCTGAATCATGCTATTGTTTATAAGCATGGTAGGTCAAACCAGCAACTGGTTATGAGGAAACATGGTCTATCCAACCTCTACTTAACTACATTAGTGCCTCAAGACCCTAAGCAGAAGTAGAAAACAGACTGCATTCTGCTTTTCAGTTTAATTTGATCTGCAGCAATGTAAAAAGTATTTTGCTATGACTACTAGCATTGTACTCGAGTTTGAACATTCCACTGGAAATGCTATTTCCCCTACAAACTCATATAGAGATGGTAAAAAGTTGGAAATATCTTCCCAGAGAGTTTATCTTGGCAGCAGCACAGAGGAGACACTATATGGCAGCCTGACTACTGAAAGACAACGCATAGTAATGACAAGCTGTGCTGGAAATTCTGTAAAGAAATCATACCACAAAGCATCCTAATTCCTGTCTTTCTGTGGAAGCAGACAAAAGCAGCACAGACCACTCTGATGCCCTGAATGACTTAGCAGACAAATGAAATATAAGCAAAAATTGACTAGTCTATCCTTTAAATACACTCTTGGAGGACAGATGAATTTAAAATCACAAGTAAGAAAACTGGGGAGACTAAAAGACAAACAACTTGTCCAGAAATGCATTCAGAGGATGTCAGGGCAAAGATACAAGTAGTGGATTTCTTTACATGGCACAGAATATATGAGAAAAACAAAAGGAAGGATTATGATTTACATGAAATTTTTATTAATAAAATGAATTATTCCAAAGTATATGTTTGTACTTCTTAATTGACAAAACACCAGAGCTTTATATACAGTGCTTTTATTTACACAAGTCTAGCCTGAAGACTTCACTGGACCTTCAATCGTTGTTCTAATAAAGGCTCACTATGCATGAAATACAGCTTCATCTAGCTTGAAGTTGAGAAAAAAAATGCTTTTTAAATTAAATTCTTAAATTATATCAATTATCTTTCATTTAAACTCTGAGCTGATCCTTAGAGATTTCAATGTACCATCATTAAAACTTGTAGACAAAGGTATTTTATTGCAGACCCAGTAGTTTTGACATACATCCCCAAAGGCCTGATTTAAAATGCATCAATGTCCTCATTCTTTGTCAAATTACCTGAGACACTTAGCAGACCACACCAACTTTTCAACTCTTACAAATACATATACAACATACAAATAAATTAAATCAACACAAATCCTCTTCTGACTTCTAGAACCTTGCTTTAAAATCATCATAGTGTTCTCATTGCCTGGCCTTGGCTTTCCTACCCTGGGTTCTCAACCCTTTCTAAACTAAAATACTGCACTTACAACAAGCCATGAAAGTAGGATCATTTGAAATTAATTGTGCATTTCCACAGGTTATAGAATCATATAACCATAGAATGGTTAGGGTTGGAAGGGACCTTAAAAATCTGGTTCCAACAACCCTGCCATGGGCAGGGATACCTTACACTAAACCAGGTTGTTCAAAGCCCCATCCAACCTGGCCTTGAACACTGCCAGGGATGAGGCAGCCACAACTTCTCTGGGCAACCTGTGCCAGGGCCTCACTTAACAGCTAATCTAAATCTACCCTCTTTCAGCTTAAAACCATTCCCCCTTGTCCTCTCACTACCTACCCTTGTCAAAAGCCCCTCTTCAGCTTTATTGCTGGCCCCTTTAAACACTGGAAACTGCTCTAAGGTCTTCCCTGAGTCTTCTCCTTTCTACATTGAACAAGCCCAGCTCTCAGCCTGTCTTTATAGCAGAGGTGCTCCTGCCCTCATAGCATCTTCGTGTCCATCTTCTGGACACGCTCCAACTGTTCCATGTCTTTCTTATGTTGGGGGCCCCTGAGCTGGATGCAGGACTGCAAAAGGGGGGGTCTCAGGAGACCTGCTAGTCATGCTGCTGGTGATGCAGCCCAGGATATGGTTGGCTTCTAGACTGCCAGTCACTCTGCCGGGTCATGGGAAGCTTCATGTCAATTAACTCCCCTCAACCCCAAGTACTTCTCCTCGGTGCTGCTCTCAATCCAGTCTCCACTGAGCCTGTGTTTGTGCTTGAGATTGCCCCAGCCCAGGTGCAGGACCTTGCATCTGAGGTCCAGTTTCAAACAGTCGTTTAACCTTTAAGATTAATTTTAAGAAAATCATTGTCTTTGCATATTTTCCAGTGAACAAATGGGGTAATAAAAGTCTTCCCTCTTCAAACGCTTCCCTCCAGGTTTTGAATCATGTCATTGGATTTGGATCAGAAATTAACACTTTCAGCTGCTTTGAAAAATGTTAGTCACAGAAACATAATAAAATAAGCAGTGCTCAGCTTGGCAAAGGGTCTATGTTTTCTTTTTGCAATGAATAAAAACTTGATTTATTTTACTGTTTCAGAATTACTTAGCTTTCATAAAATCTTACATTCCACTCACTATGCTGAAAGTCTGTGCCTTCACCAGACTCAGACTTTCATCATCTAGTGACCTAGATCCCACCCAGCAGATGAAATGGTTAAACTATAGTACAAAACAACTTCTGCCATAGCTTGGGAAGTTCACTTTTTTTCCTTTGGATCAAATCCTGCTATTGCTTATTTTTATTTGGCAAAACATTTTATATCTCAGAACCTCTCTTTCAGCAAGCCTAAGCAAAGTAATTCTATAGCATTACAATACAGCTAATACTACATTTTGAAGAGGGATTTTCACTGCATTTTCACGGTTTCAAAGTTACCTTGTTCATTAGGGCTTTTGAGACTTTCAGTCAGCATTCCCATTCTCACATGACTTGCTAAAACTTCAGGATTCATGCTTGCCACCTAGTGGCTTTGAACAGAATTAGAAGCAATCAGTTAAAGGGCTTCTTGTGCTAGAAGACAGTTGTTTCAATTTATGGTTAAGTTATTCCCTCCATATAACCATTAACTGAATACAGATAGGAAAGACAGGATTAATTCATGGCCACTGAATCTCCTCTGAAAAGAACAGCCATGGTTATTGCATTTGAACATGAACACTTGCATTGACTGGGAGAGGTTACTATGAGGACTCTTCATATCTAATGTGTCTTTCAATACAGCAGTGCTGGAAATTCATAAGGCAATCCAAGCAGAGCACAAGCATTATTTGTCTGCCTTCAGTAAAACAAGACTGTTACTTGCTCGCAAAAAAAAAAAAAAGCTAAATAAGATTTTGTGGGGGCTCCTATGACCATCTTTCTCTGTTCTGCAGAAAATGTGCATACTTCAGAGTATATATACAAGATAAAACAGTTCAGTCTAGAACCTGCCAAGCATCCTTTCCCAGGCCTAATTCCTAGATTGCAGAAAGGCTTCACACAACTGGAAAACAGAAATAAGCTTTCGTCACTGTGAGTTTTCTTTCTGGAATTGCAACCTAAAATAAATCATTTATCAGGATTACTTAACTAGGATTGTAATAAAATATTATACTATTGCCAGCCATAGCACAAATCCATGTATTCGCAAAATCGCAAACACTAAAAATGGTCTCTAAATTCTGCCAAAGTCTCAGAATACCAGTGTGTCCTAGTTTTAGTAAGAAATACTACGAGTATCTATGAAATGTTAAGAAAAAGGCAAACTACATGGCTGGGGAAAATGACGTCATCTCAGATTCAGGAATGAAGAGGGCAGGTGTAAACAGGAAGAGCTGGTCTTCACAGTTTTTTATAGCCTTGATATAATCAATGTGTCTACAGAAAGACCAAACAAGCAGTGCTAGTAAAGTCTGCTTTTGAACCAGAGGAAATTTATCTACCCTCAATGAAACACACACAAAAAACTGGCAATATGTGCAACCTCTACAGTTCTTAAAGAACTTCAAATCCAGCCAAGAAAGTAATGTCATGCTTTTGCATTACCATGGAAGTACTCCTATATCTATTATATGGACCAAGACAGGCACATATAATAATGTACACCTGTAATGAGTGCTTGTTTTAAGTCTTTAGATGCCTTTATTTTAAAAGCCACAAATCCACTATGGCTATATAAAATTTTGCCTCTCACTAGACTTTCTACATCTGGCTTTTATGGAAGTTCCTTACATGTGCCAGTATTTACAAAACAGTGATTGTGGGAAAAACAGAACACAACTGCAAATGACTGAATTTGGTACAATCTTCTCCCACTGGCCACCTTTCTTTATTGGGGGGGATGGGTTGGGGGATGATGAATAGGGAAAAATATATATTTTTCTTATTAAGACAATGAATAGACACTTAGGCTTAACAAAGAGGCTCTCTTTACACAGATGCCATAATAAAAATATACTAGCACTTGACAAGTTCTGTGCAATTTTTTAATGCACAGTTTCTAGTGTTCATCAATAAAAATAGGTCATGACAAAATCATCTCATGAATATATAGGATAACATTGATTTAAAAGATACAAATAAGGAAGTAAGAAAATGGACTATCATTAAATTATTTCCAATACCACTAGCTAGCATGTATTAACTGGGTATCATTATCTTAAATTCACTATTTTATCTTCATTTTAGAAAAAATAATCTTTTTATCTGGAAACTCTCCTAACATTTCATTCTTTTATCTGACTGCAGGTAAAATACTTTAGAAAAAAAGAAGAGTTGACAATTTTGTAACCAGTATTATACAGGGTATGTATTTTACCATGGAGAAGTTGACTCTGCTCCTTTTAGGAACTGGATGCATACATTACCTGGCTTTTGCACTACAAAATATTTTTCTCCATAGATTATTTGTTACTTCTATGTCATGTTTATAAAATAAAATAGAACCAGATTTCATTTTAAAGAACCTTTCTTACACATCATACTCTTCAGCAAGAAAACACGGTCCATTCTGGTTCACGTCGGTGCATTTCACAAAGAAGTGGTATTACAAAATACAATTAAGTGATCTCTTGATTCAAAACTTCTGAATCTAATGAAATTTTAAAAGTAATAGCTGATAATAAATTTCAAGATGGAGAGTTGTCACTATAAAGGGTCTGGGTCACCACCAAGAACTTCAAATGCTTCCCAGTTTCATGCTTGATTTCAGAAGCAATAACAAAGAGTTATGGCAGAAGTATCCGATTTAAAACCTGAACATTTATTGCTGTTAAAAATATAAAAACCCCCAGAAGTATAAAAACTGATGCACGGATAGAAAGTTAGTAAGAACTAAGGAACAGAAGTCAGCCCAATTCTAATAACTGCAAAAGATGAAAACAGACTTTTAGCAAGAATTTTGTTTTACATCCCCTTACTGGCATTTGAAATAAAGCTTTTGAAAAATATGCTGTAAAATTTCTTGTTTATTAATGAAAGTTTTGAAAAACAAGAGCAGGCATTCCAGGGTTTTTAGGGTGTTTACAAACAGATGCATAGCAGTCACATAGATTGTATTTTTCAGTGTTAACAATACAGACTATAAAACTATAAAACAGGAGAGTATCACACACAGTCTGCAAGTTTGCTTCTTTCTTCAAATTGTTTGTCTACTGCAAGTGAAAGAGCCTGAAGAAACGTTGTCATTGTAACACTGGGGGACTGAAAATGAGAACATCTTGTTAGACACACTACTGCAATAGGCATACATAATATTTTACACACAAATCAGCTTTTAAAAGAGAAATATTTGACTTCCATGTAACAAAATCTTCAAAATGCTACAAAACATAAACCTCTAGCTTTATTTTAAACCAGCTAACACAGCAAAGTCAAGCTATGCAAAGTCAATTGCTATTACTGTGGATTTGCTTCAAAAAAGGTTTTAACAAAATAACGTAATTTATAAAGTGGCAGAGGGTTTTGTTCCAGCAAGACATTATCAGAGAAACAATATCCATGTTCTTTCATAATGTTTAATTAAAAGAGAATGCTGTTGGACAGGTCAATCCCACACATCATTTTAAATTATGGGAAGCACAAGATTCTCCCAGTCCACAAAGCTGCAGCGACAGTGCAATTTAGCTTAAAAGGAGGGTGTAGCCAAATCTTTTACTTCATACAATGTCCAAATGTCTTCCCACTTGTCCAAAACCAAACTAAAATATAAACTTACTTGAATATAAAGTGCATGTGCTAGGAAAGGAAGTTTTCTCAGGACCCGGCCACTAAGACCTTCACTTCTTCTATAGTAAAACAGAAACAGTTACAGCTTAAATGCTAAATATCCACTCTTAAAATAAGTGTGTTCTGTGTTTCTCACATAAGTTCCTCTAAAATACTCAAATCAAAATTCAGCAGGTCACTTTCAGCCTATGGAAGGCTATACAGTACAGAAAAGCAAACAAGGGTACAGAAATAGCATAGTCAGATTTGCTTGCAGATGCTTACACCATGCCCTTCATGTCACTGTGCCATATCTCATTAATTTGGGGAAATGTCTACACTGAAATGGTATATAGACATACCCTGGAAAGACTTGAAAATTTGGTTTTGAAGGCTGAACCTCCCAGCTACCGATTATCTCCTTCTTCCCACCAGTTACACACTGCTCCCTTTACCTCACTTACTTAATATATGTTTCTGTCTCCTCCAAATACCTCTATATAGAACCCAAACTCCTACACCTAAGAAAACTTCATTGCTTTTACTGCGCTCCTTACTGGTTAAGATTGCATAGAGCAGAAGGAAAACAAACTTTCCTGACTTTATGCGTGTTATTTTATTTTGTACTACAGAAACCAGCACCTTGGAAGAATATATTGCTCAATATTGCAAATATAATTATTATTGTTTCAAGAATTGTTATGCTGAAGTGAAAGACTATTTTGCTCTACTAGCATACTCAGCAAATCACAACACTGTCCATTTGCACTTTACTCCTTTCACCTTTGCTTCTGTCCACTTACATCTCGATGCTAAAAACTGACTTGGTAGATTGCAGCAAAGCATTCTAACCCACTTTCTTAGCAAGAAATAAGGCCAATGCTGTTTATGCTAAACTGCATTACAATTCACCATATCCACTGAAACCCAAGGCATCTTACTAATCCAGCTGGCAATTTGTCAAGAGGACTTCAAAGGGCACAGCGGAAACCAGAAGAATACTAAGCCAAGCTAGATCTGAGACTAAGCAATGTTGGAAAATCCTGATTACTTCTACTTTTTGTCCCCTGATAGGTTTTGCGGTAACTTTACCAGAAGAAAACAGATGTGTGGAGATGTTTCAGAACTCCAGCCATATTCCACTATTTTAATACATCATTTCACAATTCATATATTACAAAAAAATAGAATTTCAGAATCTTACCTTGAGATTTCTTTTAGTACAAGGCTTAACCTTGACACATTATTTTCTACAAAGCCTATCATCTCTAGCTCTCTGAGTGTCAGGAGCTGCTGTCGAGGATATATTATTTGACACTAGAAAGAAGAATTATACACTGTTGTATGAAAAAACTTAAATACATTCAAAATTAACTTGTACAGTAAGAGTGGAAATAAAGAGAAGGAATTAATTTTGTGCATTTTTGTTATTTAGGAAATATGATTAAAATGTCAAATGTATTAAAATAGGACATTTTAGAGTCTTGCTTTCAAAATATTACCTTCATCAGTTCTTCCAAGCAAGAAAGATATATTCTAAATATTGCTGCAGTGGATGGAGGTCCAATGTATTGCTTTATGTCAGCCCTGTCTACAAAGGCCATGTCAATTTTCTCCGTAATATTTGAAGTAGTCAGGATAACTACATTAGGATACCTTCAAGATAAAAGCAGACTTTTAGGTCACATGTACAATAATTATCTCCTTCTCAGCCACTACTTACTACACTATTTCTGAAGCTCTTGGCCAGTGATCACCAATCTATTCTTTCAACTATTTCTCAAGTGCACACTGTTTCTCAAGTGTACACAGTTTTCTTTAACCCTATCTTAGAAGTGTTATACATTAACTATCTAGAGCCTACTGGCATAGTTTCTGACCCATCTCCTTGCTCAAAGAAATACTGAAAGAATATTCTTAACCATAGCTATTTTTAGATGAAGCCTGTGAACTTTTATGTGTGATGAAGCCACTTACCTTTCATTAGCAACAAGACAGGGTCAAATATGTGGCACCTTTCTTTCTATGAACAGAGCCAAGCAAAAAGGGGAGGAAAGTGGTAGGAAAAAAACTGAATACGGTAGGCTGCACTAAATCCAGCACACAAAGCAGACCAAGCATCATTAATGATTGCTTCTAAGCCACGTGTTGTGCAAGTCTGCTTTAAATTGACATCTAGAAGCTCCAAATAACGAATGAATTCTCCACTGACCTTATTCTCCTCCCTAAGCATGGCTATTTGGCCTGTATCACTCCCTGGCTTTAAAGGAAGCATACCATCTGATATGATTGCTCACTCAGTTACATGCAAAATATTCTGTTCAATTATTCCTATTTCTTTTCACAGTTACCATGATTAACAAAGAATAGTTCATTAACCAATTTGGTTTAGTATTCTAAAGAGGAATTAAGATTTAGCAGGAATCAAATATCTTTTCCTGTTGCAATAATGAGTTTACCTTTTAATGTGATCTATTTGTGTCAGCACAGCATTCACCACACGAATAGCATCTGAAGGCTCTGTGCCTGCCCTGAAAGCACTACGGGCTGCTGTGAGGCTTTCCACCTACAAAAAAAAAACAAACCAACAAACAGAGAACCAAAAAAATATATATAAAAAAAATAATAATAATTTGCCCAAATTACCTCCCCACCTTCCCTTCCCCAAACCCCCAAAACAAAACATAAAGGATTGCACATTTGGACTGCTGGCAGCAAGCAAATAGTCCAATGTACCTTCTGATCCTTATGTCTGGTATCTAAAACATCACCTCCCAAATTTTTGTTAAGTACGAATTTACAAGGAAAGAGAAAGGAATGTCAAGGAAGTAAAGTATAGTGACTGAAATTCCTGACTGGAGAATGGAAGCTGTTTATCATATGAATTAAATTTTGCAAGCAAAGGGGGAACAAGACACGCAGAATAAGGAATACATTGAATTTAGAATTAGCTTCCCTGTAGGAACTCCAATATAACAAAGATAATAAAATACATATTTACTAAGGTGCTTACATATGCAAGCCAGAAGAGAATGACAATGAACTGAACCATGATAATGCTTTTTAGAGCTTTACGATATACGTAAGAGCACAGTTAATACAAACCTAGGCTACTCTGAAGTTTAAAACAATATCTGTAAACCATACAGCAGCAAAGGAACTTCCACCAAGAAAGTTTTAGATTAATTTTCAGCTGAAATTTGCCTGCTAAATCATACTTTTTTCCTCACAAATCGCTGAAATCCGCATCAGTCAAATTTAAAATTCACTTGGGTGCACAAAGTTATGTAACTTACAAAAAATCATAAGTATGTTTTTATTAATCTTTAAAAGTGAGCATTCTTATAGTTCCCTCCCATCTATTTGCTTTCTGCTAATTTTTATGTACATCAATGCTATTAGAATCATACCTCATCAATCAGTACAAATACAAGAGCATCTTTGTCATCAATTAACTCTTGAATCTTCTGGAACATCTTGGTTACAAGTTTGCCACTCTAGAAAGAAACCATATGCATAAATGCAGTTTACTATTTCCTTATCACACAACTTTTCATGCCTTACCATATTTAAAAATTGAATTACCTGATTTTTTAAAGTAACTTTCCAATATAGCTTCTATTTAAGTGTTCTCAAATACATTAATTCTTCTGAGTAATCTTTGTATGCATACTTATTTTATTAAACAAGCTCAACAGAAACAGTGTAATTTCTAAGTCTACTTAATTAGCTGCATCAATACATACCTCAGAAAACCATTTAGAGAAAAGGCTATGGCTGTTTATCTCAATTAACTGTCCATACCTATACCTAAAGTATGAAGAGAAAAAGAAGTATCAACTCTACTGTACATAAAAGCCAGTGATATCACTAACTTCCATATATCTTGCTCTCCCCATTTCAACCCTGGAATTCTGTGAATTAGGGACTAATTCTGTGAATTAGGGACTAATTAACTTTCAAAACATAATAACTGTTTCGAGTTTGTCATTTCCAGAAACATGTCTCACTAGAATTTTTTATATTAAATTACTATCAGGATTCCTTCATTAGAACAGGTGCTATTCAAACACAGTTTAAGTAACAGTACTATGCTAATGGTCTCATTCTTCTGTTCATGTAAGGCTTTGTTCAGTATAGCAAGAACACACATAAAAGCAAGAAGCTCACTTACTTAGCTCTGCATGGATAACCTTAGAACAAAATACCTCAGCCAGGCATTATGTTGACCATGTTTATCACAAATTCAGCTTGGCCTACAGTCAGATCCACTCCAGTATTTACATATTATATTACACCTAGCATTTTATATAACTTTTAAAATATATGCATATAATTTTGTTAAGTTTAAGGTTAACTTATTACTCACCTGATATACAGACTGACCTCTGCAGACTGTGGCATTCAGACAACCCAAGTTCAAAACAAACTGGTCACAAAAATTACTACCTATTAAAACCAGGCTTTCTTGAACATGAAAATACAAATAGCAGGCTCAATAGTCTGTGATTCTTTGTCCTTTAATATTAATTGATGTATAAGATGAGCACAAACAAATTACTATATCACCACTGGAACTTTTTTCACATACCTGGGCATAAATAGACATTTTAAAATACATTAAAATATACTAACCAGTCTCTGTCAGAATCAATTTTATTTATAGTTCACCTGGCTAGCAAAGAACTATGAGCATTAGCATCTGGCACCACTTACTTAATATCAAGTATTAAATATCTTTGGGCTACTGCAAAAGAACAATTAACAGTAGTAAACTAAGTGAATAAAATTCCAAAAATTATCACCTGTACGACAGCCGAATTGTCAGCTTCTGAGCCAGTGCTTTACAAAGAGAAGTTTTCCCAGTTCCAGGAGGACCTGGTTTGAAATCAAATCCATAAATTACACAGAATCTGCATTATACTGTTAATTACATGTGACATCATAATAACTACCTTATTTCAGTACAGCAGTAACTGTAGAATAAAAACACAAAGACAATGATTGTGAACACCAACATAGTTTTAGAAGATTGCTGACTCAGCTGCAGTCCTACAGCTGACCTTTGAATTTATATAATTTTCAATTATTAGTATATTTAGTGTAATAGCTTATATGTATGCACCATAAAGTTAAAATACAAAACAGACACAGAAGTCAGAAATATCACCCCTAGCTTATGATTAACAGTAATATCAAAAATCAGTGCTATGCTCATATCTTCCTGAAACATGCTTTTCTAACATGCAAACCAGAAACACATTTGACCAGCTGTCCACTTGCCTAGAAATGTCTACATTGGGGCAACACAGAGAATCTTAGGAAGTATGCTGTGGGACAAACCTTTTGGATCTGTTTTGACACTACTGAAGAGCAACACAGACCATCTCCAAATAGACAAGTACAAGCATAGCTAAACACAGAACAAATGTATGGAAGATGATGTATGGGTGCTAAACAAACTGTTAACATGAACCAGAAGACAGTACTTTTATTCAAAACCAATACTGTCAGTTCAGCATAAATGTATTTTGCATTACAACAGTTGAGGATTTCCCAGCATTAACTTCTTTGTGATTGCAATAATGAACTCATTACAAAAATTAAATAAATCCTAAATAAACTGTTAATAGTCTGAAATAAATAGTTTTTCAAACAAAAATATCCTGCAGCTTCTAAACTGATGGTTATAACTTTAATATAATCAACACTCGTAAAAAACATTTTCACTATGACCTTTTTATTTATGAATGCCAGTCATGACAACAAAATTGTCAAGACTTGCTATTGATTAATCAACAGCAAGCTGCATTTTGCAAGAAAACTGATCCAGTTGATGTTAATCTCATTTATGGTATAACCTACACAGTAAAATAGGACTGACTGAAGATTATGGCTTCACTGAAATAGTAATAACCAAATTTGTGAGTACTGCCTTCATATTTGGCAATACAATACAGTGTTAATAATATAACACACAGACTGATTTCCCAGTTTCCTCAAAAGTTTTCATAGCGCTATAATTAACAAAGTGTTAATTTTGCAATAGAACTGTAAGAAATATATGGCTCCTAATGCTCTCAGTAGCTGCATTACCTTTTGCACTTTATAAAAAAAACCCAAAAAACAGCATCACTTAAAAATAAAAATTAAGAAAAAAATAAAAATCAAAACCAACTACTGTAACTGCATTGTAAATTCTAGAATCTAAATTCCTGCAAAACACAGTACATGTGAACATTGATTTCATTCTGACATTAAATTTAATCTAAATCTGTGTAGGAGAGAGCACTTCCCTGCTGCTTTTGCATCATCTAAATTCACTACACAGAAGTGCAATACAAGTTTTACCAGAAAGAAAGTATAAACAGATGGCCAGGTACTTGATTTAAGACAGACAATTTTTACCGTGCAGCAAAACAACTCTGTTCCATGATATCAAGTTGCTGTCAACATTTTTGTCAGAAAATAGTAGTGTTGTCGTCACATAATCAAGTAACTAATTATAAAGAAGAAAAAGACACACACAAATTAGAGACTTATTAAAAAATACAACTACAATTAGAAGCAATCTTCTAACTACATCTACTATATACTCAAAGACCAAAAAAAATAGGTTTATGTCATTTAGACATAGGTAAAATTTCTCTCTCAAAGACTGGAAATTAATTTCTTTCCTGCCCTCAGGAAAAAAACATAGCATGTACTGGGCACAAACGGACTTCTAGAACCTTTACATGAGTAAATGAAATGCTTTAGGAAAGTGAAATTATTTTAATTTTCCATTATCCCACTTCTAGTGTGTCTTTAAAACACAAACTGCCCAAGCACACTGAGTCAAAGAATCAAACTCCAGGTCCTCTTTAGATGTTGTATATTTGTTCAGTTTTTTGTAGTCAACCCACCAAAGCATTTCCTGTCACATTTAAGTTCCTTTCTACCAAAGCATTTGTATCAGCTACTATGAGGACTTTATAGACTGGTTATCCTTTCAAATAAGGGAAGTTGCATGCATTTCCTTGAATGCCTGCTTCTCAAAATACTACTACTTCACTTTAGAATTATCTAGAATTAGGAAGTAGAGAACTCTCTTAACAAAATGTATACAAATCTCAGGAGTGAATCTACACTGATTTTTTTGCCTATAATAACACCTGATACCATATTATTTTATATTGCTGTTACCTGTAATATGCTTTTGATCTCTATGTCTTAGTAGGATAATAGTATTCCTGCGATACGTCATGCCCAAGATGTAGCAATTACACAACAGCAAAAAAACTGAATTCCATCCATCATGTTTTTCAATTCTTATATCAACACGGGCATTTTGAAAATTCACAGCAAACACTACAGTCTGTAGAACCCAACTATACCCAGCTAGCTCAATTGTTTAAGAATGAACATTCGTCACAACTGCTTTTACAAAAGTTAAGTAGTTGTAATTCTAGTCATTAAAAGCTGCTTCTCCTAACTTCTTTCTACCAACATACACTGACAGTCAACAGTTATTAACTTGCTGTTATTTAGCCCATCAGTAAGTCTAATTAAGGTCTTGTAATTTCACAGATGATTTGGAAAGCAGCTCCATAAATCAGACAAATGTGGATGTATTAATTGTTGTTTACCTTATAAATGAAGTAAGTACAATCATTGTAATGTTCTGCTTTACTATAGATGGTTATAAAGTCTTAAGTGAGAATACTGTGTTTATGTTATTGTAAACAAGCTAGTGAATTAGTTATTTGTGTCCAAAAACTTCAGGTAGAAGTAATTTTTTTTTAACAAGCACAAAAAACATCTTAGTGAGTGCTGTCGAAGAGCAACTGAACTATGTGTGGTTTTTACATTACAGTTATTAAATTTCAGATTCCAGTATTACAATTCTATAAACTGGCAGTTATCATCGCAACCTTTGATGAATGCACAGAATCTTCAAACTAGAAAATGACCCCATGAAACTACTTTGTTTCTTCTAAATATTTTACCAGCTTTTAAGTGGGAGCCAACTCACTCTAGTTAAATCATTCAATGGGGATTTGTATGGACAGTAACAGTGCTTGCTGGCTGACATTACTGCTACCAATGAACTACATAGCTGCTGTCAGAAACACGTAATTAAACTCCTATTACCTTTTGCCTGGCCTGTTACATGACCATTTGATATAATGGTAATAACCACTTTTGTTACATGATCATTAGCTATAGTCACAGTGGACCAATCAATGAGACAAAACCAGATAGAAAGTAGTGCACCACACAATAAGTTAAACACTTTAAGTAATATAGTTTCCTTGGTTAGTTTACTGCAAGGTAATCTGTGCCACACCAAAGACAACAGATCAGGGGGGTTGGAACTTGATCTTAAGGACCTTTCCAACCCTAACTATTCTGATTCTATGACTTTCAGAATGGCGAAACAGAGAATCAATTTCAAAGAATGCTGCATAATTTTTTTCTAATTTCTTTCCCCCAGTTTTCTTCTTCCCTTCTAGAAAACTATGCAACTAATGAGCCTTAAAACAAGGTTCAGTATTTTAATGAAGTAAATTTCTACCCTGTTCTACAGAACATCCATATTTTTTTTCACAGAGGCTGATATGCCTAAAGCAAAAGTGAGAGATGTTATAAGCTGCTACCAAAACACCTCTAGCTGTTGAATTTCTGATGTCTGTATAATAAGCCAATGCATATGAAGAAATTGTTTATCATTTGTGGCATAAGCACCACTGAACCCAGTTTCACTGGGAAACAGATTTTTGTAAAGCTGATTTCACAGCAATACGTATTGATATGTTGTAGATACGATGTTTAATCTCAAAACATCAGCTCTGACTTTTGTTAAGCGTTTTTCAAAGAAGTATGTAACTATCAAAAACTACATAAAGGTTTTTTGAGCTGGTGATTTCCAAATAACTTCTTCACAGGATGCAGCAAACTTCAGACAGGCTACATTTCAACTCTTCTCAAACAATTTTAATTTTATTCATTTTCAACTTACATGTGATTTTACTTCACTTTCATAGATAAGACTTTCCCAAAGGCCATGGAATTCGGCTGCAAAAGCAATACATTATATACCTGTTTAGGATAAATCAATCTGAGATCTTGTAATCTATCACTGCAGCACAAAGCAGTTTTTTAAATTATTCTTAACTAAAATTAAGGATTAAGAACAAATATATGAGAGCAGTTAAAACAGTTGGGGAAAAAAATTTTTTTCTCAAAATGCAAACACTACTTTCTAACAGACAAATTCAGGAGTTTCACAACTTCTGTTTCCTCAAATAATTGCGAGTAAAAATTAATGTTCTTCATTTCTTAACATGAAAGGAAAAATATTATTCTTTCTACCCGCAATAAGGGATGAACCTACATTTCCCCAAGACACAGAGATATGAAAAGTTGGGGTGGGAGGAGGGTTCTAAGCCCAATTATCATTCAGGGTTTTTTTCCTTTTTTAACATCAATATGTAGAGGACAAGAAAAAAGAAAAAAAATAAATTTTGTTTTGGGTATCAATAATTTCTAGCTGCTGGTTTCTAACTTTCAGTAAAGAATAAATAAAGACTAAACAATTATAAACCACAATAACATAGGAATAATGTCAAAGTATCAGGTTGAATACTTCCAGAATGGATAGTTAGGCATGTTTTTACAATATGCAAAAGAGCAAGAAATATCTCAGAACAGCTCCCTTTGAGCTTAAGCTCAGATTTGTACTTCCTCTCCCAGTCGCAGAATACAAGCTCTCCAAGCACAAGACAGTAACAGACAGGCCATGCCCTATTGGAGAACGAAGCCTTCTAGCCTTTCCAACTTTCATTGTAAGTGCCCTAGACCTTCCAGAAATACCATATAGGTACCTGCTGGTAGCACCCAGTGATTAGCCGCAATGATATCCTCATTCTCTTCTTCCAGATTTTCAGAGCTTGGTCCTTCTTCATTCAGATGAAAAATATGAAGAGAAAGACTGCCTTTGCTCAAGTCAATGGGCTAGAATAGACATAGAAAGAATTTTAATACATCATATTTATCAGTCAAACCTAATGATAACATGAAAAAGTTACAGCTTTGGTCCATCCAGCTTTGAAGCCTACTACTTCTGTTTCAGACCTTAGTTAGGGGTGTAGATCCAAAAACTTACCCACCTTTTCCCAGTTATACCAGTTTGGCTATTAAAGATACTACAGCATCCTAGAAACCTTGTCTTGTTTATGCCCTTTAGCTATCAGTAGTCTACCTACAACCAGTTCAGAGGCATATGAACAGAGCTGTATGTTCTTGATTGTGAATACCTGTCTGTCTTTCAGTTTCAGATCTGTATCCACAATTGATACAGACTGCACATTGTTGTTAAGGAAACCATCATCAAATTCTGTCCACTTGTAATCACCAAACACAATGTTATGTCTGTTCAACAGTTTCAACACACTCATCCTGATATCTTCTTTCTTGGCCACACTAACAAGAAAGAAAGAGCATTATTTATGACATTGACATTTATAAGGAAGTATGAAGTAACATAAAAATGATTTATTTCACACATGGAAAAAAGCTTCCATCTTTCAGAAAAATAAAAAAATCCATACAACCTCTCCCCCCAACCCCCAAAACAAACCACCCAGACTGTTTCAACTAGGAAAAGCAGAAAAACTCATAGCCAAACTACTCAACTGAACTTGGTACACTTTACTTGGAAGCTCTATTACGCTTTCAAGTCTAAGGACAGCTGGTATTTCAGGATGGGGACATGCTATATGGAGAATTCTAGCAGAAGAGGCAAAAACGACAGAAAAAAAGGAACACCATTTTAAGATTTCAGAAAGGCTTTAACTTAATTTTGCAATTTTGGTGATACATTCCGTGTGGATTCACAGACCCTTGTCTTTTAATTCTGACAAAATCAGAGCAGTGGACATTTCACACTTTGACTTTAGCAACGTATTCGATACAGTCTCCCAAAGTATCCAGATAGCCAAATTGGTAAGCTAAGAACTGGATAATGAGACAACATGGCTAAACTGTCCAGCTGAAAAGGCTGTGATTAGAAGTACAAAGACTAAGCAGACCTGCCAGCACGTCAGTTGAGAAAGGTGGGGCAGTGCTGGCAATAATGGGACTCACAGTGGTTTTACATCTTCATTTACACCATGGACAACAGGAATGAAAGCAACTGCAGCAACTTCATGGCTAACATCAAAGCAGGGAAAGCTCTCAGTATACTAGAGGGCTACCTACCAGAGGGACCTCTGCAGGTTGAAGATAGGGTTTGACAACAATCTATTGAAGTTCAACAAAAGTAAACATGAAACCTCGTCCCTCCATCTACTACCCAGCAAACAGTACAGACCAGAGTCCAACATGCCTGGGGAACAAGACGGCAATGAGTCACGTGCTCCCACAATAACAGCCAGCCTCATTTTAGGCTAAGCACAAATATTAGGACAAGAGATTCTTTCAGTCTACTAGCCACTTGTGAGACCACATCTTAAATACTGTGTGTGGTTTTATGCTCCACTGTATAGAAACAGACTCGATTTGGAGGCTAGGTCACAAGACACACAAGAATCTGAGAAATGGGTTTGTTCAATCTTAGGAAGAGACACCTATGTGGAAACTTATGGGAGAATATAGAGAAGGCAGGACAGAGTGCTGTGCACGGCACAGGGTCAAAGTGCAGCAGGACACAAGCTCCAACAAGTGAAGTTCCGACTGGAGACCTGTTTGATTTCTGAAGAACTTCCACATGCACTTGAGTGTTGTCACACACATTTGGGAGCGCTTGCTTCAGTTCCCCAGCGACTTCATCCATTTTTTCACTCCTGGGGGAAAGCAATACCAAAGAGCAGGCTTTCAGCAACCGTTACATGACAACGGCACTACCAGTCCTTCCCGGCACGGGAGACGCCGAGCCCCGTGTCCATGCAAGCCGCCCAGCGGGGAAACCGACATTTCCCTTCCTCCCTCTGGAAACCACGACGCTAGGCAGCGGGGAATAACGGCCCTCTCCTTCCCTCGCGGACCTCCACGGTGGGGGCAGGAAATCACCTCACGCCAGACACGACCTCAAGAACGGCACGCTGCAACTGGAAAAATCAGGTCCGACCGGGAAGCGGAGGGACCGGGAAGCTCCTCTGTTCCCTCAGCACCCTGCCTGCGGAGAGAACTGGCCTCCGCCGTACAAAGAACGGAAAAAAAACTCGTCAAGATCGAAGAGCAGCCAGCACAATACTACCGCCCTTTCGTAAAAGGCGGGCTGACGAGGGGCAACCCGGCCCTCCCCCATGACCTGGATCTTCCTCCGTGGCAGGCGGAAGGAGTTCTTTTACCCTGGCTGCTTCCGGTGGGGGCTGAGGGGAGTCTGTTACCAGAGGGGGCGGTTCGGCCATGGGAAAGAAGCACAAGAAGCACAAAGCAGAGAAAGCGGAATGGCGCTCTGCTTCCGCCACCGCGTACAGCGGTAAAAACTGGGAGCTGTACGGAGATGGGCTGGGGAGAGGGACGCGTCTACTGCCGGCAGGACCCGGCATCACTTTGTGGGCTGGACTGCACCGGAGCGCCGGGAAGGGAAGGGTCGTGTCGGAGTCCGTGAGGCGCGGGGGGCCAGGCCGCTGATCCTGTCCCGTAGTCGGGGACTTGGGGAAGCCGGGCGGTCGCACGGGGCGGCAGTGAAAGGGAAATGGCGTGCTGTGGGGCTCCTAGCAGACCGGGAGTGGGAGAAGTGAAGTGGGTGGTGGTCTGAAGGAGGTGGCTTGTTGCTGTGTCCACGCGAAGGTGGCTCGGGAGGGGCACGGGGATTGCGGAGTGGGCGGTGGGGTGCTGGTGTGGTGTGTTTTGAGACCAGGCGCCTTCGTGGTTCGTATGGCTCTTGATGGGTTCCGGTTGCTGCAGTAGTTGAGTGATGCTTGGTTTCACCTTACTCTGATAGGGATCTTGAGATGTTTTCTGGGAAAGCCGATGGGTTAGTTCCTTGTATGTTCCCAGTTTGTGGAAAATCATGATGTAAGATGTGCTGAACAACTGTTTAACTTGGATTTGTTAGTCTTAAGTATTACTTTTCTCTTTAAATGCATTGCATATGTTTTCAGCCTTCAGCAAATTATTGTAAAGAACATTTCTAGAGGAAGCATCAGTAATTACTTTGTGCTGTTATTTCTGTATGCATTTATGAAATGTTTTACTTTTTCTTCATTTAGATTATGTGGATAAGCCTTTGGAAAAACCCTTAAAGCTGGTGCTTAAAGTTGGAGGAAGTGAAGTGACTGAACTTTCTGGGTCAGGGCATGATTCTAGTTACTATGATGACCGATCAGATCATGAGCGAGAACGGCATAAAGAAAAGAAGAAAAAAAAGAAAAAGAAATCTGAGAAGGAAAAAGAAAAGCATCTAGATGATGAGGAAAGAAGAAAGAGAAAGGTAAGCTGTGTTTTTTATAATTCAGACTTGCAGCTCTTCTTCATGCTTGCTTATCAGATCTGTAATCTGGCACAGAGTGCCATTTGATTCACTGTTGCAAGAAACTTATTCTTGGCAAATGCAGAAAAACCCTGTGTATGTGTTGGTATATTTCTCCTATTTGGGCGAGATGTTCCTGTGATGATTTCTTGAACGAAGTAAAAGCTTTTTTCTTGTAACTGCTTGGTTTTTGTATTCATTTGCTTTGTTTGTAGGTATGAATACCTTTTGATTGCAGCCAGGTCAGAAACATATTTTGCTACCCTTCGGGGAGGGTATTTTCAGTTTTTCAAATAAATCTAGCTTGCATTTCTGTTTCTGGGATATACCAAGTTATTGAACATTGTAATTGATATGTTTAGTTAAAACAGCTTTCTGAAATCTGATCTGTTGATTACTGTTGTACAGTAGTCTTGTTGGCTCTTGTTTAGAATAACCTGCATGCTAGGCTTTGTGGCTTTCTTAGTAGCAGCTGGTGTGGTCACGTTTTTATTGTATGTGTTGGACCTTTAGGAGTAGAAACTGAAATCAGCAAGGCAGTGTTGGTGGTACAGTTACCTGTACAATTTCTTCCTGGAGACATCATAGCAGCCTTCCAGTATCTGAAGGGGGGCTGTAGGGATGCTGGGGATGAACTATTCATTAGGGACTGTAGTGACAGGGCAAGGGGTAATGGGTTAAAACTTAAACAGGGGAGGTTTAGATTGGATATAAGGAAGAAATTCTTTCCTGTTAGGGTGGTGAGGCACTGGAATGGGTTGCCCAGGGAAGCTGTGAATGCTCCATCCCTAGCGGTGTTCAAGGCCAGGTTGAACGAAGCCTTGGGTGGCATGGTTTAGTGTGAGGTGTCCCTGCCCATGGCAGGGAGGTTGGAACTAGATGATCTTAAGGTCCTTTCAAACCCTAACTATTCTATGATTCTATGATTCTATTTCTTCTGTGTACTAATGATTCACTGACATATCTGCTTTTTTAATTATCTTCAGTCCTGTAGTTTTCTTCCTCTCATAAGATAGTTCTTTGGCACTACTTTGTATGTGTGTATGGCTAAACTCTCATTTTGAATTGGTTTGTTAGGCTTGACCTACTTGAAAGTGACATAACTCTGTTGGATCATTCAGAAGTTCTTGAATACAGGGCAGATAGTGCAAAGTTTTCTTTCTACAAACATTTTTCAGATGTTTCAGCTAAGAGTATGGCACTTGAAATGTAGCAAAACAACTGGCTTAAATGCAAGATCTTGCAGCATCAAATTAATTATTTGTTTTGCCTTTGCTAAATTGGGGTGGAGGGGCCAAGTTTGTTGTGGTTTTTTTTTATCTCCCAGAATTTCACTATTAGTACGTGCAAAAGAAACTAACGGATAAGTAACAAAACTGTAGTCTAAGCATGGTTAATAGAAGTATGCTTTTCTGTGAGCATGAATAATGACTTGTAAGATTATAGGAATGACTCAGGCACGTGTTTGCTTTGAAGTTCAGGAAGAGATCATTAATTGCTACCACTGTCACAGAGGATATCTTATGTTTATTTTGCAGGCTTCCTAAATCATCATGTACTCTATTGATTCCCATTTAATGCACGAGACAACCAAAATACACTGATCATAGCAGAGCTACAGACTGATCTTTAGTGAATAGTAAATTATACTTCCTTTTACATAGAAATATGTGTATTTTACATATAAATAGCTTCAGAGTTTAACATTCTTTTTAGTAAAAGAACAGTAACAAATGATAGAACAATAATATATTAAATACAAAGCAAAAGGTGAACAGAATTAGTTTTCATTGGAGAAGAAAATTGAAAAAGTGACAGTGAAAATATATGCACTCTTATTTAAGCCATATTATGGCTCAGATATAGAATGAGTGTCCCAAATGAAAAATCACTCTCTTACCATTTGGTGTGCAGGATTGTACATTCTTCTAAAATCTGTCTTCTTCCTGCTATGCTAGGAAGAGAAAAAGAGGAAGAGGGAGAAAGAACAGTGTGACACTGAAGGAGAAACTGATGACTTTGATCCTGGGAAAAAAGTGGAGGTTGAACCTCCTCCAGATCGTCCTGTCAGAGCATGCAGAACTCAGCCAGGTGAGCAGCGAGAAAAATTAAATCGTCTTGTGTGTTTTTAAAAGCATGCGCAGCATAGCTTTTGTCAAAGATTCCAAAATGTAAAACGTCCATGAGGATCTGCAAAAATCTAGAGCCTTTACTTTTTCCAACATTAAGAGCTTTCAGCTATCTGAAAAGTCAATATTCCTCTTGGTGCTTCTGGTGTTTAGTAGGTTTATTTTCATGTAACTAAACTTGCCACTGGCTTCTGCTACTTGGCAGAATAAAGCTAGTATACAAGTATTGTGTGTAGCATCCCCTTAATTTCTTCTTCATAACATTTCCTCAGCATTTACAGGACAATGGTCAGCATGTCTGAAACCAAGTTTTCTTAGAATCGTAGAATGGCTTAGGTTGGAAAGGCCCTTAAAGATCATTCAGTTCTAACCCCCTTGCCGTGGGCAGGAATTGCTTCCACTCGACCAGGTTGCTCAAATCCCCATCCAGCCTGGCCTTGAACACTTCCTTGAACCACAGCTTCTGTATCTTACCACCCTTACAGTGAATAATTTTTTCCTATATCTAATCTAAATCTCCCTTTGTCAGCTTAAAGCCAATCCTCCTTGTCTTGTCCCTACCAGCCCTCACCAAAAGGCCTTACCCAGATTTCTTGTCAGCCCCCTTTAGGCACTGGAAGCTGCACCAAAGTCTCCCCAGAGACTTCTCTTCTCCAGGCTGAACAAGCCCAGCTCTCTCAGCTTGTTTCCATAGAAGTGCTGGATTCGCTTGAGCAGGTCCATGCTCTTCTTGTGTTGGGGGCCCCAGAGCTGAATGCATTATTCCAAGTAGGGTCTCGCCAGAGTGGAGTAGAGGGGGACAATCCCCTTCCTTAACCTGTTGGTCACGCTGCTGGTGACCAGCAGCAGCGCAGGACACGGTTGGTTTCTGGGCTGCAATTGCTCACTGCCAGGTCTTGGTGACCTTATTGTCAACAAGCCCCCCAGGTCTTTCTTCTCAGGGCTGCTCTCAGTCCAGTCTCCACGGAGCCTGTATTTGTTTTGGAATTGCCTCAACCCATGTGCAGGACCTTACACTTGGCCTTGCTGAACTTTGTGAGGTTTGCACGGGGCCCATCTTCTTAGCCTGTCCAGGTCCCTCAGGTTGGCATCCCTTCCCTCCAGCATGTCTGCTGCACCACACAGTTCAGTGTTGTCCTCAAACTTGCTGTCCATGTTGCCATCAAAGATGTTAAAACAGCACTGGTCACAATACCAAACCCCCCCCCCCCCCCGTGGTACACCACCCTTCACTGGTTCCACTTGGACACTGAGCCATTGACCATGACTTTGAGTGGGACCATCCGGCCAGTTCCTTATCCATTGAGTGGTATGTCCATCAAATCCATGCCTCTCCAACTTAGAGACAAGCATGTCATGTGGGACAGTGTCAAATGCCCTGAACAGATCCATGTTAGGTGACATCAGT